TGATGCGAAAATTATAGGGATCAAAACTTACCTTTTCGAAAATTTCAGCCAGAAAAAAGGCTCCCGAAAATTCTAGGTGAGCTTTTTCGGGTAAAAAAATCCGTTTAAAATGGGCAATTATACCATTTTTTAGATGTTCGGAAATCCTAGGAGAGGCAGGCAAGAAAGAAATTTTACAACAAATGTTCCGAAAATTCTAGATCTCAAATCTTCTTTCGAACAGATATTTTCCGAAAATTGACGTTGGGTGCTGCTTTAACAGCTACTCGATCGATTGAAGTTTATAGCGCTAAAGTTTCAGCTAGCTACGTTTACCTTGCATCTGTCGGTTTCCTTTGATATTCACGCAAGTAATTTTCGTTATTTCTTACGGCCGTTCGCACCAGTTTTTCCGCCCCGTTTGGTCTGGCGATAACGGCTGAAGAGGGCGAGCCCGTAAACCTAAACCCAAGAGAAAGCTTACTCGAGAAAGTTCTGAGAAACTCTTAAAGAAGCGATCATTTAACTTAAAAGGGAAACTGATATCTTTCAAGTAACATTCAGGTAACATTTGCATAGTTTAACAATGGTTGATTGAAACCTGCCAAGACGTAGTACTAATAATTATTTTGCAAGAAGACTTTTTTATTGTGCGTTTTCTAGTCTTGTCTATACGTGGAAACAAAAATAAACAAATATATATGCTTAAAAACAAAGCCAATATAACCACAGGAAGTCACACCTATAAGCCTTCACAGTGGCGTAGCCAGGATTTTTTCAGAGGTACGCACAATTCTCCAAATCGCTTTGTCCCACCCTCCACTCTCCTGTCCCCCCGCCCCCAAGAAAAAATCTTCCTTGATTAAAATAGAGAGGAGACGTCGTTTCGTAACGTTGCCATAGTAGCAAAATTTTGGAGTGACAACAAACTGATAAAGTCATTTAAAAGTCTATCCGCACTATTTCAAACTTTGCCGATCTTATTCCATTTCATTTCATGTGGCAAATCTTGGCGAAATTTTCTTTGGGACCGTATCTATTGTTATCTAAGCTTTGAAAAAGAAAGCGACAATTTCTGTGTTATGCTCACCTACTCCATAAAGAGGGCTCGTAAAATTAGGAAGTTTCATGTCGTAGTGGTGAAACGACGGCAAAGAAATGTACAAAATTGCGTTATGCACGTGCTAAGTTGTTGTTTTTTAATGTGAACATGTTATTTTTTGCTGTTCTCCTTGCCTTCGCCGTCGTCGTTGAGTTTTTTGTCATCCAGAAATAGTGCTACCATGGTAACGTGACGTTACACTTCTCCTCTCTATTTGATTACGTTGTAAGTGTGAGATTTTTTGCTGCATATGAAATGACATAAGCGTTCTTGTAACGTACTTTGTCGCGTGTTTCGGGTCCATTGACTGAGGCACATCAATCATCTATCATACAATAAGGCTACATACTTTTCCGGATTCGTCAGGAATCCGGATAATTTTGTTGTTAGCGCTGGGTCCGTTTTGTCGTTTTTAAGCAGATGCGTGAATCCGACTTGATAAAATGACGATTTGGAATCCGAAATCTAAAGTGAATCCGAAATCTTGTAAATTAACAATGTTTTGCTGTGTACACAATTTGTTCACCAAATCCGGATACTTTTCTGCATTTGATCATATACGAGTTTGCAATAAAGCCAAAGTGTAACGGTCATTTTTATGACTATAGGGCGCCTTCGCAACGACAAAGGCGAGGACAGCGAAATCGTCCCTAGCTATCAAAATAAATGCGCACTTTTTAAAACTTTTTCGCGTTTACTTCAACTCTCTTAAATGGCAAATATAGCTGAACTTTCCGCACAGTCCTGGGAACGACACCCAAGTTCGGACGCAGAGAAGAAAATGAATTCGTCCCAGTGTTTACGTCCTCCAAACAACGTCGCAAAAGGAAATTTAACGTCGTGGTCATACAGGTTGTAACGAAAATCGCGCTGCACGTGCAAAATGTATTGTTTTTCATTTGCTTATTAATTACTAGTAGACTTGTTTCGTTTGATCTTCTCATACTCCCAGGATGTGCGTGAACGGTTAGGAATCAATCAGTAACTTATGAGTTCAAAGAAACAATACACTAAATCTGGAGTGCAAAGAAGTCCGTGATCAGTTTTTAGAAAGCCTCATTTTTTCTATACATTTTTTGTAATTTTGATACTGTCGAATTACAGAAAATGGATGGGAAAAAACTGATCACGGACTTCTTTGCACTCCAGTTTTAGTGTATCGTTTCTTTGAACTCGTAAGTTACTCTTTTCAAAGAGAAAGCATCAAATATGTGAATTCAGGAAGAAATAGCGGGCTTTGAATTCCAATACAAATCTTCTAATTTCCCGCCATCTTGCCCTGATTATCCATGATGCAACTATGAGAGTGAACTCCTCTCTATTAATCTTAGCAATGGGGCTCCGCTGCGCGATGGCAACATCTGCGTGACTGTTCTTTCTTCTTGATGTGTTAGACTTCCTACTAGTAACGACACAACAATATTCGGGGGAAAAAACAGAATCGCTCTAATAGATAATCTAACTGAAATTTCAGTGTTGGATTTTGAGGAGATAGGAAACCCGGAGAAAAACGTCCGGGAGCAAGTACATTTGAGTACAGTGAAACCTGTATTAAGCGGACACCCACGGGGAATGCTGTAGCGTCCGCTTAATACAGGGTGTCCGCCTAATACAGGTTTAAATAGATAACGTCATATGAGGTGTCGATCGCCATTCAAATGAACAGTGGAAACGTTTACAATACTCCCAGAGACTATGACGATGTACGTTTGCATTTATTTGTTTATTTAAGTGGACCAGTTGATCAAAGTACCATAAACATAGACTGCAACTCAAATTTGAAGAAATCAGATGAGTGAAACAAGCTCTATACAAACAAAACGAAATAGAAAACATAACTGTACTGTGAAACTAATCAAATAAGTTCGTCAAGTCACATTTTTTAAGGTAAAAAATGACAATTTGTGGGTGGCAGATAAACAATAGAAATAATAGAAATGACTATTTCAGGTACTTTTTAGGTGTTCCCGTCCGCTTAATAGAGGTGTCCGCTTAATAAAGGTTTCATTTAAAGTAAATAAGGGAAATGAATTTGGGGCCTTTGGCTACTGTCCGCTTAATACGGTGTCCGCTTAATACAGGTTTCACTGTATTTAGATTTAGATTACTCCAAGAGAACATACTATGTTCTCTTGATTGCTCGCTATAGTCACTGGCGCAAAAAATAGCTACTTCTGAAAAGCTACTACATATCGCGATGTTCGCCAAAGCCTTATGACGAAATAAGTGCAAACAGCCCGCACTTTCAGGGCGGAAAAACGTAATGAGCATGCGTGAACTTTTTTGCCCAGATCCCCTGGCCGGGCTTGAAAAAATGGCGGGATTTAATGTTTCCACTCATAACCTGGAAAGAACAGGCAATTTGCCTTCAAAAGTTGCAAGCTGTGGTCATAACCTTGTAGTTACTTAATTTTCTCGAAAAATAACTCATAGTAAAACGCACTTTAACAACATTAATTTCCTTGCGTTGTACTGGAAATGTGCATCCGTAGGTCCGATTTTTTTCGAGATGCATTCACAAAATGTGTTCATATAAGGAAGTTCCTCGATATAAGGTCCGGAGCTCCTCTGTGGACACAAAAACAACATATCTTTGGACAGTGATTTGCCCAAAAAAATTAACGCTTGCCCACAATGTGTTTGAAGTCACTGAACTTTGTCGCACTCGAGCTGATATTTTAAAACCCTCGCTCGATCGGACACTCGTAGTTTCGCAGATCACTAAAATATAAACAAAATCCTCAATGTAGAAGTTATTGCGTTTATATGTGGGCAGAAAAAAGGTCAATCTTTATCTTGTAAAATCTTCCCAAAAATCGGTTTCAAAGCAACTATAGTTTTGAAAACTTGCTCGTTTCGCGCAGATATATAAATTGTGCTTTGTGTTGTCAAGTTGAACACGCATAATATAAATTAAACTCAGCCGACCATTAGAAAATACAGAAAATTGCGCATAAGGGTTTGTTTTGCTCGCCTCAGTCAAATCAAGCTGCAGCAATTGTTTACAGAAAACGAGTCAATTGTTTTGAAGTCACTGCCGGCAGTTCTCTACTTCACAGCGAGTGAAAAGGACAATTTGCGTACAGAAATTGAAAGTTAGAACAGAAACCTTCACAGTGCACTGGAAAATAAAACTATGTAATGAAAAATGAAAAAAACTCTCACTATTATTACTTGAGCAAGCTTTGAGCAACAGAAAAATGATCTTGAGTAAGCTTGCTGGCCTTTTATTTCCGAGAAAGTTTAATAAGCGCACAAGTTTGTTCACTCTGATGGTTCTTTGACTGAAGACAAAGATAAAGCTGGTTCTGAAAAGGTAATAAATCTGGGTATGTGAAAAAAGTAACCGTAACTACTAATAACAGAATACACACTGAGAATACAAGCGGGTTTTAATTCAACCCGGCGAAATCAATTCATAAATTAATCGGATGCACAATCAGAAAAATACTCGGCTCTTAAGAAATGTTCAAAACCTTTTATTCCACCTCGGACTGACGGAATGATCCGTTTTTCCTTTAACATTGGTTGTTCGGAATCCAGAGTAATTTTCAAGCGACGAAAAAAAAGCAAACGTGTCAAATAAAAATGCTTTACAAGGAGCTAACGTTAGCACCTCGTGCCTTTCACTCAGAACTCCAGCAACAAACAAACACAGTCAACATACAGAAAAGCCCGCCTTGAGCCTGGGGTTAAAAGAGCCTGGGGTAAGGGATGCGCAGAAGCTTGCGCAGAACGTTTTTCCGCCCTGAAGCCCGCACTCGCCCGCACCAGAGACCACTAGAATTTCTGCAAGTTTATTTCCCATAATGCAACATTCATAAACATTTCACTTTCACTTTGTGGACTTTTTAAAAAAGAAAAAAACTAAACAACAGCCACTTTAATCGATATAATATCTTCGAAAATCTTGCCTACCATGAACAGCCAAGACCACCGACAGTTTCTTGGCAAGTGGAACGTAATGTTAGACAACGAAAAGAAAAGGATTGATGTGTACGAGTTTCGATATTTGTGGCAACTGCGCGTTGGTATAGAGCTTGTCGATCGTCAAAAGAACGTTGGGATCTTCGCTGTTTTGTCGACCAATGCGCCGGAGATAAACCTAGAACCTGGAGAATTTATCATAAAAACTTACTCCGAAAACAGAGATTTATGGAAACAAATGAAAGATTTCCCCGACTTCCAGGACACCGGAAAGTTTGCCGTTTTACCGTCCATAAAATGTCCAATATGGCGTTTGCGAAGCCACGACATCTGTCAGCAAGAAAAACCCAAACCAGAGAACGAACTTTATTTTACA